CTAAACAGCGCTAGTGAGAAATGTCATGTGTAGCCTTTAAGTTGCTACACTATATAGGCTAACTGATCAAATCGTCAGGGCAGCGCTGACAACACCTTTTTGTGCAAACTGCGTGACCGTAGTGTGCGTGTGCGAGCACGTGTGATTGCAGTGATTCCTGTGTGCTGTATAGGTACTGTATGCTAATTTCTGTTATTACAGTTAACAATGCGAAGTGATATGGAACTGTGATGTGGTCAAGAGAGCTGCCTGGAACTACGTTCGCCGTGCATTTCCCTGAAAATAATTGCACACCTCAGAACGCTCGTCAGCCAATCAGATTCAAGCATTCAACGGCCCCGTAGTATAAGTAAAATTAAACCCATCTGCACTTTTTAAAGTCAAAATAATAAAAGTACAAACAAACATATAAATGACATAAATTACAATTATGAATAAATATAAAACCACTTGACAATTAAAAAAAATTAAATAAATAAAAACATTTCTTACTATTTTGAATCAGATTTATTTTTTATATCGTCTGTTCTCGTTTAATGTCATTTAATCTCAGTTAAAGTTTTAGAAATGTTGTTAGTTTCTGTCCATTTTATTGTTTTAAATATATGTTTATAGTTTTTATTTAATTGCAGTTATTATAGTACTCCAACCTTAAACTAAAAAAAGAAATATATTTTTAATAAATATTTTATTTTATTTAAAGTAATAAAAAATTATTTGAATTGTTATTACCAATAATAACCCTGCATTGCACCCATCACAACCAAGAAAACCATGTGACATTCGGCACTTGCCATTTACAAAACGTTATAGATGAAGGTTTGAGCAAACTAGCTCGGCTGCATTTGTTGTTTAATGCACTCTTTTATTTATGCTTCATCTTCTGTGAATTCCAACATCCCAACCCAAGCGCCCCCCCCCGTCCCCGTCCCCGTCCCCCCCATCAAACCTGTTGGATCAGTCACCAGCCCTTGTTCTGGGAGCTGATAATTTACAGATGAGAAGAGGCATGAAATAAACAATGTCATAAACGCATCCAAATTGTCTTCTAATACACAAGCGTTCGCTGGAAGATTTCCCAGAATGCATCTCAGCGAACAAAAGCCCAGCACATGGGTACGAAAAGAGGTTTGTAAACTTTCCAAAATGAATCTCCCATCCATTTCTCCTGTTTTAATGCCATAACTCCATTTCTTGCCTGCCAAGCCTCGAGCCCCGGTGGCGTGGCAGAGATATTACCCGAGCTGCAGCATTATTTAACCTAGGCTCCTAAGGCAACACAAGTCTCTGGCACACAGCCATTCACTCCATTAAAACAACACAAAGACTAATGTTGTGACCTTTTCTTCATCCGTCAGGGTTGAGAGAGTGTCTCTCCGCAGCTATCACTCAAGTTTATTGTGTGGGATTGGTAAGTGCTCTTGAGGAAATATGAAACAGGCTTGCTGTAAATGAGGGAGAGTGTAGTATTTGCTATTAGGATGTACAAGAAGGCTTCCGGGAAGCCCCCAAATAACGAAAAACCCCCATAAAATCCCATCCATCCTTCCATCAGAGGGCACTGTAGACCAGAACCATTAAGAATCCCATAGTATTCTTGGAAGAAATCTCTATGGAAACCAGTGAGGAACAAGAAACAAGTGGCAAGTCTGACCCAGCGTTCGCTGAGTGAGCAAAACTGGTTTAAGCCTTTTACTCGTCTCTTCCTCACACCGTCTGTCTGTAATCTCCTATCGCTCCATCTTACGCAGCCTGTGCTTTTATAGAGAAGGTCAGTCTAGGTGAGCAAAGGTGTACATAATAAGACCAATTTTTATTTCAAGCTAACTTCAAAAACAGTCTTGTGTGAACAGTATACCACAAACTGCTGAACTTCTAGATTCTAGATGAAGATGTAGATTCAGATAGAACAACTGCACCCAATTCAAAGAGTTTAAATGAAAACTTACTACATAGAGCATACGGAGATAAATCTGTCTGCGATAAATATGTGCTCTTTTGTCTCTGGAGGTAAAAATAGTGCAGGAGGGCTTGGTAATATGTTGGAAAGCATTAGCGGCTGGGGAAGGCCTTGACAAACTGGCGTGCTTTTCTAATTTGATCAGAACAGGAAGTTGCACTAATCCTTCCTTTTAGAGAGTCCCTGATCTGTGTCAGAGAAGCTCGAAACACACATGCTGAAACCCTCCAGACTCCCTGATCAGCAGAGAAATTAGCCTACTTAACTGAGAGTATGTGTGTGTGTGTGTGTGTGTGTGTGTGTGTGTGTGTGTGTGTGTGAGAAAGAGCTGCATCAAGAAATGCAACTTGAAACTCTGTTACTCTAGGAGAAAAATATGCATCAATTCTATGCAGCAATGCCGCCGGGTTCTCTGGGCCAGAGCTCATCTCAGATGGAAATGTGTGCTGTACTCAGATGAGTCCACATTTCAACTTGTTTCTGGGAAAAAAATGGATTTCAAGTTCTCAGTCCCAAAGACCAAAAGACAGAAGCAAAAGCAAACGTCTGTCATGGTATGGGGGTGCAGCAGAGCAAACAGCATGGGTGACTGGCATATGTGCGAAGGTACTATTGACATGGAGGCATATATTGGGATTGTACAGAGATATATACTGCCATCAAGATGATATCTTTCATGGGACGTCCATGGTTATTAGATCAAGACAATGCCAGCTCTCATTCTGCATGTACTATAGCAGTGTGGTTTCGTAAAGACAGAGTGAATGTGCTAGACTGGCCAGCAGATCTGTCTCCTATTGAAAATAAATGGCTAATCATGAAAAGGAGAATCAGACAACAACAATCACAGACTGCTGAGCATCTGAAGTCTTGTATCAAGCGAGACAAACATTTTGCTTGCAGAACTTTAACAGTTAGTATCCTCAATTCTCAAACAATGAAACATTGTAATTAAAAGCAAGGTTGATGTGACACAGTTAAACATGCCTCTGTCCCAACGTGTTTTGGAGTGTGTTGCAGTCGTCAAAATCTAAATTTGTTCATATTTACAAAATAAATTTACGTTGGTCAGTGAAAACTTAATATATAAATATTTTCTTTGTACTTTTGTCAATTAAATAAAAGTTCAAATTCTGCATTGGTACACCTATTTTAAATAAATGCTGTTCTTTTGGACTTGTTTATCAAAAAATCCTGAGAAAAAAAAAGAGTTTCAACGGTTGATTTAATGAGAATATTTGAGAAATGTTTGATAATAATGAGAATTTTTTATTGTGGACCAAATCAGCATATTAGAATAATTTCTGAAGGATCATGTGACACTGAAGACTGGAGTAATGATGCAAAAAAAAAAAAACATTTTTAAATATATTCAAATAGAAAACAGTTATTTTACATTTGAATCATTTCACAATATTACAGGTTTTATGTATTTTTGATTAAATAAATGCAACCTTAGTGAGCAAAAGAAACATCTTTCAAAAACCTTCGGATCCCATAAGTTTGTATTGTATAAGTATAAAAAGTTGTGTAATTGTTGTAATTTCTTGCAATGTCCCCATTTCTAAACTGCAAAGCTGATAATTTATTAATGTATTTTAAAAATAATGTATTTTAAATGTTACAGATTTTTTTCTTTAACCAAATTAAAAATAAAATATTGTTTTAAATTGTAATCAATTGTCTCAACTCTGCACCTTTTTTTTTTAAAGTAATGAAAAACAGTTATTTATTTACCTCATTTTGGAGTTAAACGAAAGCACAGACATGAATGTGATTTGATGATTAGTAAGTTTGTGTCATTCTGAAAGATTAATGTTGTTAATTAAAAATACAGAAATCAGTTTGATAATATTATAAGAAAGGTATCTAACTAAACTTCAAGCTGCTACCCTCATGTAAGCTGTCATGTGAGCTGAAAAAAAAACAAAACAAATAAACAAATAAATGATAAATATACAGTATATATATATATATATATATATATATATATATATATATATATATA